CTACCCATGCAACCTGTTGTGATAATGGGTAATGTTATGGGAATGAACCCTACTTGTGTTACCTGTTGTGGTAATGTTGTGGGTTTGAATCCAACCTGTGTCACCTGCAAAGATTTACACAAGCAGTTCACAAAATATGCGAGCTAAATACAATGTTGGGTTGGGAGTTTAGTGAGATTTATAGTTTACACTCTGCATAAAACAAAGAGACGGATGGGATTATGGAAATAAATGTACAGCCATACAATAGGTCAAATAACCAAAGTGATATAATTATAATTGCATTTACACAGTGAGAAATGTTATGAAGAGATCTTTATTATTGAAGGCTAATAAAATGAAATGTAACTCAACATGTGTATTTATAATACTAAGTATTCACAGTATGTACGGTGATGTATATCCTGCTTACTAGATTATTTGGTACTGTATACAAGTCTACATTGAGAATTTGAGAAAAATATATATTTTTTTTTATTTAGTATAAAGTTCAATTTAATAAAGAATATAGTCACCCTGGCAAATATAAAGCATCAATACCATAGCAGCGTATGTGTTAACACTAATTTAAGAGTTCTCTGTAATACTGGTATGTCTTGTTATGTAATAGGTACAGGGCACAATATACTAAGTACTACATCACAGATACTGACAGAACTGAATCACAAAGTAACAGCAGATAACAAAGTCAAGATCTAACCCTAATAACAAAGAAAGATCCCAACCAAGATAACAAAGCTAATATTCCGACCCAGATAACAAAGTCAAGATCCTTGGCTGATTTTAAAAGTATCTAATCCAAGCGCCTTGAGAAATATTAACAGAATAATGTTCCACTAAGATTATAAAATGACATGATATAAACTTTAAAAGTCAGCTGCAATTCTTATTTCAGGAACATGAGGTAATGCATAAAGTGTAAGATGATTCATTATTGAATTCTGCTATTCGATTTGATCACAATGTCAACTCGGGGGACATTACCATATATGGACATTACCATATATGGACTACATATTTTATTGCATCAATAAACACATACAGTAGAAAGTAGATACAATCTTTGTAGATTGAACTAACAATATATATGACAATAATTCTAACACACTGACAGATGACAATCTGCAACAAATAGAACAATATTTGGTCCAAGTAGACCCCCAAATGTTTCCTAACCTAGTTACAATGAGAAAGCTGAATTAATTATTAATATGTTGTCTAATGTGAAAAACTGTGATACAAGATGTCTATAGTTCATCACCGTGCTTCTCAAAGTATTCTTTTTTCTTTTCAGGATCTGGAATAATCTGTGAAAAAAAAAAATGGATATTTACAATATGCTACCTATTTACAATGTCATTGAATTTCGCTGCTTTACCTAGATTTATTTTAAATTTTTAGAACTGCATATTTTCAGATCACTGTGACATTACAGGATTGATGTACTGGTTGATCCTAGACAGTGAAATAGGCAATGGTTGCTGATTTGTAGTGATTTCTTACTACAACCATGTATAGAGGTAACTAAGTGTCCGTTAGCCTGATTACCATTATTTCATGGGTCCTTCAGCCCTCTCCAACTATACTGGAAACGCTGCCTTGATTTTGTTCATACAGTTAGAGGGTGACTGTGATGTTCATTGGTTGTTAAATATAGAATGCTACTAATCTAAATATGCTAATTTTACAAACAATGGATGACAACAACAGTTATAAGTTCTCTGCACATGCTGTATCAACTGATTGTTGCCAAGGAGACGAAAGTGTGACTGTCCTTTTCTTTGTGATTTTGGAATAAATTACTGTGGAATACTTTATTTTCGCTGGAATTAATTTTCGCTGAAAAGGCTTTTTGGGCGTTTTGTATGGAATTTATTTTCACTGATTTTTGATGAGTTTAATGTGAAATATAGAAAAAAAAGTATATTCGCTGGATTTTATTTTCACGGAATCATCCATTCAGCGAAAATAAATTCCAAGCGAAAATAAAGTATTCTACAGTAACAAGGTAACAAGTGTCTGTATTCAATGTACTTACTGTATCACTTCCTGGTTTCCACTCGCATGGACAGACTTCACCGTGGGAGTCTGTATACTGGAATGCTTGTACCAGACGCAATGTTTCTTCCACAGAACGTCCCACTGGCAAATCATTCATCGTGATCTGACGTAAAATACCTTTATCATCAATGATAAACAAACCTCTATCAAAACAGAAATATTATTCAGATTAGTTGTTGTGAATCGTTCAGATACCAACCCACAGATACAATTAGTACTAGTTATAATTAGTAAGGATGCGATGCACGTTCTGATTTTTTCAGGCATGTACTACTCCATTTCATTGATTTGTCAATTCAGTGTTTTGCTCACACGTACACGAGATATGTCTATGTCTTCTAAGGGAAATACCTATATCATGAAATAATGGAATCACCCAAAATATATAATAGGATCACTCATCTAATAACTGGATCCCACATCTAAAAATTGAATCACCAATCTGATAAAGGAATCACCCATTTAATAATAGAATCACCCATAAAGTAATTAAATCACCTATAAACTAATAAAATCCCCCATATAATAATGGAATCACCCATCTAATAATATAATCACCTATAAACATATAAAATCACCCATATAATAATAGAATCACCCATCTAATAATATAATCACCTATAAACTAATAATATCCCCCATATAATAATGGAATCACCCATCAACTAATAAAATCACCCATCTAATAATATAATCACCTATTAACTAATAAAATCACCCATATAATAATAGAATCACCCATATAATAATGGAATCACCCATCTAATAATATAATCACCTATAAACTAATAAAATCACCCATATAATAATGGAATCACCCATATAATAATGGAATCACCCATATAATAATGGAATCACCCATCTAATAATATAATCACCTATAAACTAATAAAATCACCCATTATAATATTGGAATCACCTATAAAGTAATAAAATCACCCATTATAATAATGGAATCACGTATACCTTAACGTATGTCCAAGGTCTTCCATAAGAACACCGTAATCTTTAGATATTTGATGAGTAATATCAGAGAGAAGAGGAATTTTTATATTGCCTAAACCACCATCCTTACGGGGAGTATTAATCCTAAAATGTGCAGACACAAAACATAGAAAAACTATTATAGTTGTAGACCTTGTATATATTGTCTATGGACATGCATGTATAAAGACATAGTGACATCTAGTTATTTTACATATTTTATGCATTCGTATGGGACACATATCAAACTGGTGCATCACAATGATTTGTACTAAGGTGGCATGAACATATAACATTCACATTTCAAGTTTTCAGTGCATCTGAATGTTGTCTATTATTTTTGCTTTTCATTTAATTGTTTATTCTAATTTTATTTGATAATGTTTTAAAAACATGCTCAGATGTACATGCATTCACCCTTGTTCCAAATTGATTGTGTACCAAGCATGAAATACTTGTACCATCCAATATTTCATACAATTCTCAAAATACCAGTATTAACCCATGGGATGGGGGTGGGGGTTTGTTGGGTGTAATCCTTTATACATGTATATAGGTATGTCCTACCGTAAAATCTGTATTAGAAGCAGCATCCCTTATAGAAGACGCACCCATTCTTTTTGAACAATTGAGACCCAAAAATTCATCATTTCTCATATGTGTAGATAATAGAATAGAAGCTGCACACCCTCTGTTGAATTGTACCATTTTAATAGAAGCCGTGGCTTTTAATACAGATTTTACAGTACTCTCTTGACCCCATTTCCAAAGTCGTACCAATCGTTTTGACCTTATGTTTACATTTTTGGGCCATTTTAACAAAAATTTAGGTCATTTTTTTTGCAAAATATCCAATTTGATCTTTTATCGTTTTGGTTACACTTGGGAAGCCCCAACCCCCACCCACAAGTAAACTGAGAGTCCACAGAAAAATGGCTGCCATTTCTAGGCAACCAATGTCTTACCATGCTAAGTGAGTGAACTGGGAGTCCACAGACACACCAATCACCTCTGTGTTGATTTTTCTGAAGGTGTCTGCATGATCACTGAATGCAATAATCTCTGTCGGGCACACAAAAGTACTGCAACAGTAAATATAAATAACAGATTAGCATGCCATATTTTCTTTGATCAAACAGAAGCAGATGGAATATAGAAATGATCCTCATCACAACAAGGATGATTGTGATATTAATACATCTTCTGCTGCTGCCTTTTCAATTCACTTCATCTATTTGTTGAGGCAGTCAGCGGGCAATGTATTATGGCCACAGCCAGTACACATTTGGAACATTTTTAAAACTAACATGTATTTGATAGAGTCTGAATGTAACATAAATTTATCAAAAATTTCTAGTGCTTTTTACAGAATTATCTTCTGTCTGTGCCCAGTCACAATATAGTTCAATGACAACAAATTAATGTACAAAACATAATGGCTTCCAACAAATAACATATTTTCACTATTGGTGATTTTCCATTTGTTACATGTATTATTTATTCAAATATTTAATTAAGAAGCAAGGTTACGTTGAACAAGTTTAAAGTGAGAAAGTCGTAACCGGCGCATGGGTCATAGCGTGTCATTGTTTAGAAACAAACGTTTACCCATGAGCCTGTGCATTTTTAGCATGTGTTGTCGCTTGGGACTCAATTCCCATACTTGCGCAGGTTGACTACCCCGCTTTAACTGTTTTATATTGCATCTTGACACAAAATAGACCATGATTTATCATAAAAATAACATTTGGCTGTATTTTTTTTCGATGGAATACTAAAAACACAAGTTGCGTATTATGAGTTTTTCAGTATTTTATGGGATTAACACTTTTGTGTTTGCTGCCAAAACAAGGGATTTATTTTATGAAAAAACATACCATAATGTCTTTATCAGGGTGCAATATCACTTGTACCGGTATATACTTGTACATGCTCAAAACACTCCACCACTGTTCAGCTACCTTTTTTTTATTCATGCCAATGACTTTGAGGAAAGAGTGAAAATCAAAGGAAGCTCAGAAAAAACTTCCGTATGCTGAGAGTACTTGAGGCATATTTAGAATAATTATTATGCAAATCAGGTAATTAATATGAACAGTTTTCAATCCAAAACTAACCAAGTCTGTGCATTGAAATGTGATGATTAGCACTTGAGATTTACAATACTTAACACGAGATAATCAGGCCTGTGTATGCGTTGTTACAGAACACCTATGTGCCAAGTCTCATTGAAATCCGACAGGTGGTTTTTCAGATATCCATGGAACACACATACACCCAGACAAGGTAACTGCAATGACTCTCAATGTGTCCTTCACACTTGGGAGTAAAAAATTGATTTAATAATTCTTTGAATGATAGTTCCAAGATCTAAATAGTACAAGAAAAACATTAAAACTTACAAATCCAGAGGATAAAAAAGCAGCACCACGTATTTGCCTCGATAGTCAGACAATTTTAATTCTTTGATTTCACCATTTTCAACACCGGTGCCAGTCCAGTCTGGAGCTGGCTTAGAAACTGAAATGAGAAGTTATCATACTTAATATTTATCAGTGCCCTCATTTTGAAACAGTCTCATTTGAGAAAAATGCACAATTCAAGTTTTTGACAAAATTTCAGACACAATGAAATCTCCCGATGTCAGACAGCACAACACACCTTTTATAGACCTTTTGAACTTTGCTTTCTGGCCTTTAGTAAATGAATTATTTTTGTACACTGCTTTATCTCCTCTAGAATGGATCAATCAAATAAAAGCTAAATATACATTCAGGAGAAGCCCTCTAATACAATTTTACAAATTATTTGAACAAGCGACCTTACGATCCAAATAGCTCTGCTGTCTTTGTAGAGTGTCTTCCTCAAAACAAAGTTGATAATGTTCCTCATGATGATATATTAATTATTTGCCATGGTTACGGTATTAGTGTTTTCACAATGTTCTTGCTATGTCACAACCATGGTTATACGGTTATTGCCATCACAATTGTATATAATTGACAATTGGTATCAAAGCAATTGAGCAAATAGTTTAACTAACTGGTAGTCTATAATAACATTTTTACCCAAAACGATAAAAATATTCATTAAAAATATAGGACTGAAGATATCATCACAGAGGTCAACTCATGGTACACCTACATAAGTATAAACAGATGGACAACATCCTATATGAAGTGCTTTGCTCTTTGATAAATAAAATACTTGTATACTAGTATACAAATGAAAGCATATCAAAAAAGAATAGCAAATTCATGGGGCTTTCATTTTGTGCATTTAGGTATCTGAGAATAAATCAAAAATAAAACCCAGTACCAGCACTTTTATCGGAATTGAGCGTGTGCACCCCCCAGTAAAACACTGAAAATAAAATTCTCTTTATACATATTTATTATATTTAATAATAGTTTTTGCTTTATTTTACATTTTAAAACTATATGTGCTGAAATTGTGCACCATATGGCATAATTACCGGTGAGGCACGTGTGCATGGAACTGCAGTCTTGCAAGCTGGCTATCAAATTATTAGCAAACTAGCTAACTGATTTGCAACAAATATGGCATGTACATTAGGAACGAATGGTTTGTAAGTGGTTTGGACTATATCATTATCTAAAAGGGGCAAGAAAGAGTAAATAATAAATGCATATCGTGATGTATTACTATGCGCAACCAAATTAGTACGTCAAATAATAAACTACCGGTATATCTTTAAAATCAAAAGAATTTATATGCCAAGCTATACAATGTAGTTAAAATATATTGAATTTCACAATCACAAAGCAGGTTAGGAAAGATAGAAAGATAAAATTTTATTCAATAGTTCCAAGTAGGCTTCTAGCAGCAGAAAAATCAGTAAAAATTGATCGTACTCCCAGAGACAGTGTCATTTCTTTGTTCTTAAGTGAACGAAGTCTGGCAGAAATTGCATGGCATCAGAATATTTTAGCAAAAATGATCCAAATTTAAAAAATAAACAAAGACACAATTGTTCAGTGACCAATAGCATTTAATCTTTGCCTGAAGATGTATTGTTCAGCCAAAGTATTTATTTCATGATCCAACATGCAGAAATGCATTTACTTATACCATTCTGCAAATATGACTGCGTTAGGATATGGCATTGACACTGACAGATGAAGCCCATGACCTATCCTGATCCAAAACACAGCAAAATCATGGTTATACCAAACACAGCATGTCTTTCCTTATTATATTTCACTATAAACTGAATCATGGCTAATAATTTTGCTGATAATAAAAACTGAAACCAAAGGTGTATTCTGTTGTGTATGGCACAAAACACTTGCATTCCTACAGTTTTTTCCTGTTTCACACAGTACAGAGATTTTGGATATATCATTTATAGCATAGAGTTGGAAGATGCAACTGTCTGTGAGTAAGAGAATTACTTTTGAATTACTGTTGATTAATATGGAATTTCTGTACATTTTTTCTTACTTCTGTTGTTTATATATGTATAAATATTGAGCCAAAAGTAAGGGTAGGGATAAATTCCTACAAACAAATGGTACACCTCAAGTTATTTAGTTCTTCTACCATGCTTCTGTATATTCATTGTCTGGGCGTCAGTTACCTGTTTTGCATATTACCCAGTAGGTAGCAAATTTGTCAGCCATCTTGCAAAACTGCAGTTACATGCACATGCGTTCGGACTCCCGCCAGTACACAATGCAATAGAATAAATAAATCAATAAATAAATAACTTGTATCAAAATATAATATTTAAAAAAAAACGTATTTTTTCCCCTGTAATTCATTCATGCTAGTGATGTACCCTGCAGAATGTTATACATACATATACCATATGGCATATGAATAAATGGGTATTCATTGAAAACTTTGATGAAACTACAGTCTCTTGTAAAATAAAGATAAGAAAATACAATTTTTAACCAAAATTCGAGATAATGTAACATCTTAAGTTACGCACAGTTAGACAGACAGACAATAACCAATTTTTTTTTTAATTTTGATAAAATTAATATTTATTGTAATATTGCAAGCATTTGTACAACAATGACCACTGTTTTGTGAGATGGATGCAAACGTGAGACCAGTCACAATCCCTCTATAGACGGACTGTAGATAAGCATACATAGGACCACGAAGAACACGACCTCTGCGTCCAGGGTTGACCACAAGACAAAATACAACTGCAATATAATTTTAACAACAAAAAGTTGACACGATAATCCAAGAATTAATTTATAATCAATACCTTCCGACTGATCAACTTTTGTGATCCGCCAATCCAGTATGGAAAAAAAACTAATTACTTTATACATGTAGTATAGTATTAAGGTCCTGAGGGGGCGGGGGTCGTAAAATGTAGTTGTAAAAGGAGATGTTTCGATTTGTTTACAGGAGATGAAATGTTTACCTTGAGCCTTGCTGTAATGCAATGCATGTTCCGATTCCTTGGCACCGCCACTTGGATATGGGTGAAGAGTGGCAAATAACGGACAGCTTTCATCGGTAAGAGCACTCACTGCAAAACAGCTGAACACCACAACAAACACACTCACATGGGACGCCATTTTGAAAGAACCACGTACACCTCTAGACTCCCTAGCGTACTAAAAAAACGTAATAATAATAATCTTTATTGCATAATCGTATCCTTATTTCGATATTGACTCAGAAATATTACAATAAAGATGAAAAACTGAGGAAGTAACAAATTGGAAGCGCTAAAATATAAAAGAATAATAATAAAAAAATAATAGTGTATTTATTCAGGGGCAGCTGGTAGTTTTTGAAATGATTCTCTCTGGCACTGAAACAATTATAGATGTAGCTTGCTAGTTTTGTTATCTTTTTGATGTTATTGCATTGTAATCAATTTATTGATATTTGTGTTTGTTGAAATGTATTAAATGTATTTCCTTCAACATTTCAGTTCTCTCTTTTTCATACAGCTTGCATTCAAGTAAGAAATTTCGTCTTCAATCTCATTTTGGTCGCAAGCAGTGCACTTTCTACCACTGCAAGGAATTTTTTTGTATCGTCCTCTCTCTATTTCTAAATTATGGGCTCTAATTTTCGATTTTGTTAATGCTTCTCTATGTTTTGCATTTGTTACTGTTGTTAGATAATTTTCATACTGGCAATTTTTCTTATTACATATAAATGGGTGAAGACTTTGTGGAGGAGGGGATTTGTTAGTTTCCGACGTTCTGTGCTTCGGTAGCTTATGCAGAGGACGCCGGGAATCAGCGAAGGGGAGAAAACTACTGCCATTTACCAAATCAAAACGTATGACCGGACTCGTTAACAAAATTAACAATTGTAACTTTGGTTTATTTGAAATGCAGTTTTATAATTAAGGTGTGTGTTGCTGACTATGTTGCTTACATGTTTATATGAACTGTGAAAGTGGTATTGACATGCCATTGCTGCCTATGTTGAACTGTGAAAGTGGTATTGACATGCCATTGCTGCCCATCTATTTTCAATTGAATACAATTTATCATTGATTTTGTTTTCAGCTTCTTCGAACAACGTCTTTCTTTGCGTTTGGTAAAGCATATACCTTAGAAAGGTCTATGGGTAAAGTAACAAAAACATTAAAATGCTTCAGGACATTTAATCTCGAAAATGCTCTATAAATTCTTGTTTGAATTATGAAATTTATAAGTATATATACAGATGAAGAGAAAACATTTGTTGCGGTGAGTGTTTGTTTTTCAGTGAACATGTTTTTTGAAATATTTGACCGGAATTAAATGTTTAAGGTTTGAAGAAAATTCAATGAAAATATGGAGTAACCGTACCCACTTCACAGAAAATCGATGTACAAAATATCACGAAATATAGTGAACGGGGCGAGTGTTTTTTTCTGTTTCAGGGAATTTTACTATTCAATTAATTGCTAAGTCATATATAATTAAATAAATATCTTAAATTGTTGATGCGTGACATACAGTTAAAAAATGATCATAGTATAGTGTAATAACGAACTTATTTTCACCGTGGTCTACACAGCTGGTAATTTATAACTTCAAGGTGTGCATATTATTTGACAGATTAAAAAAGTCTACGTATTGGTGATTAATTATATAGGTATAGTTATAGACACGAACTATTGTCACTGTTATGTACACCTCACTATACGCACGTGTCAAAAATCCTGGGGTCAAAATGTACGAGAAGCATTCTACCTTTAACAAATATAAATAAGTGTTGGACAAAAAGAAGATTGATAATGTTTCCAGTGGTCATTATTTTCCACTGTCACTTGGGAATTTACGATTTATTTGAATTCACAGCCCTCGATCTACATGTAGTTTCATCCACTGCAGTCTCGTCATGATAGTTATACAACCATGGATTTATAAATTTTTGATAAACATATAATACTATTAATAGTAGTATATTATTAATTTGGATACAAGTCATAATACAAACTCGAAATCAAACTTTAGAGATTTTTTGGGAATATATCATCAGACCACCAAAACTAACCATAATGATCTTACGGGAGGACCATTTGGAATCCCAGGGTGTAAACAAAATATTCACTCTTTTACCTATGTCACAGAACAAAAAATAAATAAATACAATGTACAATACAAAAAAAAATAATGAAAAGTTCCCAGGTGACGAATGAAACATGTAAATATGGTGCACATTGTCCTTTTTCTGCCCTCACCCAGATTCAAAACGGTTCACCCCTTCTCTGCTACATACTATTTACGTGGCTGAACACAAATCATTGGGAAATAGTGGGAAATTTACATTAGAATCAATGGCGAGTTGCTTGAATGGTGTGAATAACACTATGAAATATTAAAAATCACGTTGTAAACTAAAGTCAAGGGAACGTAAGAACAGAAAAGCGCTTAGACGGTCCTGACTTGACACGGTTCTAGGTGGGCACGTCGACGGAAAAGGTCCCCTAGCTGTCAATCAAATAAGCTCCGCCCTCAATTCCCTGGGTTGCCACAGAAAACAACACTTACGCTTAGATACAAGGGGTTTATGATTGCTCGTTTCTCGACGGGAATTCTGCCATTTCCTTTGATTTTTAAAGCACCAAATCTTGTCTGATAGTTACAGGTGGTATCCAGGAGCATCCTGGATCTGATTCAGGTAAGTGTTTTAGTGTAAAATTCACGATTTTGAACGTGTAAAGTCAACGTGAAGTTACAGTTGTTGCCATTTGTTACGTGTATTCAACGAATCGAGGGCCATAGCACCCGCGACGCTAACGTCAGCGGCTTTGTGGATTTATTAACGTTAATTAATATAACGACTAAACATTGCTGTGACACTAAACTGACTATAATGATATTATCGGCAAATAAAAGTCAAACGCGCAATTTTGATTAATAAAATAAGGATCCAGTGTCTACTTGAACGCACACGGTACAGTACGTCGAAATTTGTTGCCCTAAATAGCACTGTGAATACGGGCAGATGGCACCATCGCAGCCATCTTAAATTAATGTTCTCGAAGTTCAGACTTTACGTAATGTTATTGATAACTTTCAGCCATGTTCAGCAACATTGACCTGTCAATAATTTTAGTAAGTCTGCAAATAAACTCCAGTGTTTATAGCAGTATTTCTGATCTGATCATTAGTAATTTTAATCATATCATAATATCTAATATAGCTACTTGATAAATGCTGGTATAACAATATTAGAAGGTATTTGATTATTTATAGTTAATGATAATTGCTAGTATTGTTATATTTCCTCAATTAACATTTTTTCTCCTAATTTAATTTAATTTTAAATTCAGCCAGATAAAAAAATTAAAATTTTAAGTAAATTCTAAGTTTGTAAAAAATGCAAAATGTTTAAAAGTCATATAAATATAAATAAACTTTCTTTTTCTATGATTCCTAGATTTTTTTAATAGAAACAGAATATTATGAGTAAGCAAGTGAAAACCTGGTATCTGAGTGCATTATTTAGATATGGCACTCATTTCCATAACTTGTACTTGCTGTTGTATTTAACTAATATGTGGAATAATTGGTCAAATAATACCCAAATATTTTGTTGTTGTTGAAGTATGTTACTGCTGAGTTTTATATATATATAACCAAGCTGGAATGATTTAAATTAATTAAAGATCCCTGTGAATAAGTGTTTCAGTTCTAATTGTAAATGTCTTTGATAACACATACAATATTGATGTTTGGGAAAACACTTGTCTACATACTTGCAGGGCGTTGTCGTAACTGACATGCATGTTGGATACACGCCTCAAATGATGTATATGCATGAATGTAATAAATTAAACAAATGTATTGTTTATTTGTAAATAATTTAACTTGGGGGGGGGGGTGTCACTCAGTTTAGTAACAAACATTTATAATTAAAATTTATGGATTTATTACACTTTTTAACCAAACTAGAAATATATTTTTTCTTCACGGTAGTAATTAAGAATTATCTTATCTCATCTTATAATCAACACATTATGTTCACTCACAAAATACAAAACCGAGATTTCTATACATCATACTCAACGAAACGATCCCATATATGTAAGCGATAAAATGTAATTATTGCATACTTTAGTAGTTTGGGTGATTTATTATAATGTTGTCTGGGAAGCAGAATGTTTGGTTTGGCAGCCAATCACGACAGTCTAATCCTAACTTGCAGTGGTGCGCTATTCCATCCATTATGTGCTTGTCTGATGACCAAGAGCATTATGGTGTTGTATACACTGAAATATACCGTATTGTGATTGAACTGAATAACTGAGATCTGTACAGGGTTATATATACCGTAATGCCCAGTAGCTGTATTTACGAGTCCATTTATGTGTAGTTCCTTTCTACATGTACAGGTGCAGTAGTGTTATTTATAAAAACATTTTATTTTTAGTTCTGTATATGAAAGACAAAATGTCATAAAGTTTCAATCTGTCACTGGGTCTTTTGTCAGTTTTTGATCGTTTTATTTTGTAACATCTGGCTACTTGCATGTACCTTTCAAATAAAGTATCTTACACCATTGAGTACTAAATCAAAAATATTTCACATTGTATAGGATTGCAATTCTGTTATTAAAGTTAACGATTTTTACTTTCATTTAAATTTAGGAATTTTTGTTTGTTTTTTAAATTTATGAGTATGGCGTTGGTACAACACAAGGTGATTTTCACAAGGGCCTTGTTGTTATGATATACCTGGTACATAAATCATTCACTACCTTATAAGGAACAATAAATTGTGAATAATGTCATAAACAATTTATTTGGGCTTAAAATTCTGTTTCATGGCCATATTTGATAAAATTGCCTTAAGCCTCAAAAAATAAATTATGTGATTACAATAACCCGGAAAACAAGTACTAGTAGGGTTTGTTAGATTTAAATTTTTTCTCCTTCATAAGAAATCATTTTCTTTGCTCTAGCTTGCTGATTAGGTAACAATGTGTTTAATTATGTTAACATGGAGTATTCTCAATTTAGCCAAAATTCTGGATTCTTTTTGTGCTATTTTTCTTGTTTCAATTGGGTACTTTATTAATTTATGTCAGTGCATGCACTACTAATAGAGCAAATACAGAATTCTGTACTTGAAAAAATAGAAATATTATGTTCATCTATCCATATTACAAATATCTGATCATATTTCAGTGGTAACTATGTTGTAGTTCCTAAGCTTTTGTACTCAGATACCATATTACCGGTATCTTCAAGTCCGAATAATTAGGTTGTCAACTTTACTTTAGAGCAATTAGGTCAAATTAGTTTGAGTTGTGTTTGAGTATTTTTTGCCAATGCTTGTTCATGTGTATCAGGCAACCATTGTAAGCTTTGTTTCTTTCTCTTTAGAATGACAATAGATTATGCAAATGACACAAGCTTATTAAAATGAGCTATTCTATTATTCCCATGGTATTTATTTTGTTTGTGTGAGAACCTTGTGCTATAGAAAAAAGAAATATTGTCTGGTTTTAAATTTAGCGGTCTTGAAGTGCCTAAGAAATGAACAAAGTGTTTCTGTTAAGAAAAGTTAGTTTGTGAAAGAAACAATACTTTGTTAAATTACAAAATTGGATGGGTCTAATTGTTGTTTATTTACCTGTTAGCAAAAAAAAGCAAAAATAAAACCCATAGAATTATTAAAGTATCATGGAATGCTTGGCGGCAAAATTGATAGGTTGTTATGGTGATATCAATGATGTCTTAATTCACTTCATGAAGGTTATAATCAAAGGAGTCAAGTTCATGCATCATGACAGTCATTTATTTCACATGAATGCGGATAGTTTTGCAATACATGGCTATAAACACTGATGAAAAGATATGCAAATATATGGTATTGGAACAACTGTGTATTGATTTGTTGATGTTACTTACGTCTGAGACATTTATAGGAATTTAGGAAGTTTGGGAAAAATTGAAGATTTTATGTCATCTTTTGGTTTATATACATGTCTATTGGAGATGTGCTTCTAATAGAGCAAATACAGTATTTTGATTGTTTTAGAGCTATCCCTATATAATATCGTCCAAGTGTTCATATCTACACAATCTAAGCGACCCCTGCCAAGGCCAGTACCAGTCAGAGTCTGTTCAATTGACAATTTGTTAATCTAACCATGTTAATTAATTCCCAGGGGAGATACACAACTGAAGCCATGCCCATGATGTTTATATACAGTACTTATATTTATATATTAATTAATTATGTTAATTTACTTTTACATATTAATTAGGCTGTAGATTTATACTAAACTAGAACTCAACATTGAATGACTTTATTGTCAGATAATCTAAAGATGAAGTAAACTTGGAATGTTTTTATTACTGACATGCCATTGTACTCAGGACAATCGGATATTGAGATTGTAACGTTTTAATTACCAACATGTCATTGATGTACTGTGTATGTTTAACCACACAGTGTGTAGTAACACTCATTTCACAGTGAATTTTTTCTATTACAACAGAAACCTTAAACTACCCCCCTAGACTGCCACAGTTGCTTGAATTCCCATAACTTAATGGATTTAAAACCTTTGTTGGTGGATGTGGTAGTACTTTAAACTTTAAATGTTTTTATTTGTTGTGGCTGCATATTCAATACATGTACATATTACCGTAGTTGTTCTATTAGAATCGCACCTCAGATAAAAGTGCTCATTGCATTGCATTTATTGTACGCAAAATCATTGAAATATGTCTTATTTTGACAAATGTCTGAAACACTGGAATTGCAAGTTTATGAAAATCTGGTAACATTTATTTGTTTACTGCCCTTACGAAATCATTGAAGGTATCTATTTTTATATCCATGGTCGAATTCTATTGACAACTTGATACTTATCGTTATTTTCTATTCAGGGTTACAATGAGCAGTGCGGCTGTTGAAACCACTGTGAATGGTGACATCATGAAGGGTAACTATAGTGATACAGACAGCGTAGATAAGGAGTTAGATTGGCTTATTGATAAAGAAGAACCCCCAGCTACCAAGGTATGTATCTCAAAATAAATCAATCTAATATAACTATAGATCAATAATAAATCGGCATTCTCAGGTGGTCATATCCCAAATAGTCAGTAATTTGACTTTATAGCAGAATTCTACCTGTACTTTCAGACTTCACTACAACATGTATATTAACAAGAATTTATAAGATTGGGGTATGCGATGAGGATTTCATGCAAATTGAGAAATTCACATAAATTGTAAGATACTCACAAAAACGCAAGACCAACCAACATTTATAGAAATTCTTATACAAATTAGTGTGTCTGTGATTAGTGTTCATCATTAGTGTTTTAGTAATGAAACTAAATATGAGAACATGTGCATTTCAAATTATCATTTCTTTTTTATGCAATTTAACATTTTTAAGTGCTCACTGCGTTCTGTGATGATATTAGTAGAAGTATTTATTTTACGCGCTTGTAATAAGAATGTTTTCAACAGTTGAAAATGCTGTAGTTTGCGTCTCATGTATCCAAGTAATTGCTCATGCATATGACGGCTTATTTGCATATGCATATATATGACCATATAATAAAAAAAATATAGCGTAATTCTTGCATTAATTAGATCATTTTGGCGATGGCTGAATAGTAGGTATAGGCTACATTTTCTTTTTTTAATTTATATATTTTTTCATTGCTATTTTGGTTTATGTATATTTTTTTGTTTTTACTTACTGCTATTAAGTTTTTTTATAGATCATATTTCGGCCGTTAAGGCAACTTAAATAATAATAAAAATATATATAAAAATACAAAGACTGAGAAATAAAATGTGTTACTGTCTACTTCATGGTTTCCTAATGTACTGCACTTAAAACACCAAAATATGCATTTATTTGAATAAATGTTACAAGATCAAATCAACAAATAGTCTCTGAATACAATAATGTGTTGGAGTGGCAAGTTGTAACATGTTCAATTGTATTAGTTGTATTTTAAGAGCATATACATGTACAATGTTGACAGACATGAATACCAGTAGTGTAGATGTAGTCATCACAGTGTAAATATCTCAGAGGAGGAGTCTATTTTAAAGCAATTTACATCATACACTTGGCACATGTCCAAGTGATTTTTGTCATACTGTTAATACTAGAGCAGTGTTAACCATCTTTCTCCAACTGACACATACTATATATAGGATGTGCAAATTACAAATGTACAGGGTTGTGTAATACATACGGTATACAAGTTATACTGGAATCCCATACATGTACCTGAAGTTAGCCTTGGATTCAGACTCTGACTTGAATTCATTTTCAAGTTCGGAATCAGGTTTGAGTAAATGACAGTAGCACTACATTTCTAGATATCATGCTTTATGTTTTTTGAGTATTTCTTTATTTCTGAAGAAAGGAAATCAAAAATATAATACTTTTAATCAAATCACCCATTTTTGAAAAAAGCTAAATCTTTCATACTATTTATAGCATTAAAATAAGTTGGTACTACAGTGATGTAATTTGAAAATGATATTCTTTGAAAATAACACTGAGGTTACTCTTTTAGTTAATTAAATCCAACCTTGAATGGAATCCGAATTTGAACCTGAATCTGAGTGCCAACTTCGCCATTTTACTGGAATTTAAATGTTTGTAATTTATACATGTATGTGATATTACATTATCAACATTCAGACACTGAAGGTACCGTAATATAATAATAAACATTGAATAATATAAAGTAGTGCTCATTATAAATAAATCATCATATTTTATAGCCATGTGAGCAGGTTGTGAAATTTCAATGTGATGTGAGCATGATTTATAGTGACACTAATGTTTCTGAATTACCCGGTACATGTGTGACTCTGATCCAACAATCAAAGGGTTGCCAGTTTAATCCTAAAAGAAATGTACGTGAAATATTGTCTCATAGCTAAAACATGTATGTGATATGCTAAGCATTTATTAGATATTACGATACACAACTTTGATATCTATGTCCATTTATTTATGTAGATCCTGATAAACAAAATGAATGATTAGAATGTTGGATGTTATCATCAGAATATGATCCTTTCAAATGGGCAAAAACTCAAATACATATTCTCCATTCATGTAGCATCACTAAATAGAAAAACCATAGAAAAACCAAAATGTTTGGCATGGATTATAACAGTGGTTATAATTATAACAGTGGTTATAATTTCCAACCAGGACCTACTATTGGATAGAACTCAAACTGTAGTACAGTTAAGGCATACAGATGTACAAACTTGTCTGTACAGGGTTACCATTTTACAGAATTAGTAGCTCAACCGGATTGCTACATGTAGAAACCACAAAAAATGAATACATTGTTGTTTCCGTAAACTAGTTAGTCTTCGAAGCACAAATTGAGAAATGATGTATATTAATTTATATTTTTTTTTAGCACCAGTTAAACCTGATGAACTAATATTGCCATGGACTATGAGTTTTTAAACTAGTAACCCAGCCAGAAAATTAATTTTGAGCACTGGTACTATATCCATTTAATATGTGGGGTCACTTTGCAAGTTTTACTTCATATTCTCTGTGATTTGTTGCAGAAATCTGATCTGGATACCAATGTGACAGAAGATGGAGACTATATACCAAGAACAGCATCACCGATGAAAGAGGAGGAACCTTCAAGATCTTCATCTCGGTTGGGATCTGATAGTGATGATGATAGTGATTATGAATTGACAGAGGAACAGCGTGAGGCTGAACAGTTGATGCAAAAAATGAGAGAAGAGGGTTCCCTGCCCTCAGAAGATCCACCTGAATATGATGTTACTGAAAGAATAAAACAATTAAATGAGGAACTAGCGCAGGAAGGTGAGGTAGAAGAGAAAAAAGAAAGAAAGGTTGGTTTTAAAGATAACTTAATTGAATTAGAAGTGTCCCCACTTGATGATGAGAATGATAAAGAAAATGAAGAGCAAATTGGAAATTTAAGTTTAGAGGATCGTGATCAGAAAAAACAATCAAACGGAGAGGTAGTTGTGGAAAGAAATGGCAAATTTGAAGTTGTGCCTGTGAGTGAGTTGAGTCCGGAAGAGCGGGCTGCTCATGGGATTGAAACCAATGGTCATCAACCGGCACCACCATCACGTCCGAGACCAGCTACAGCAACAGGAAGTACTGGCAGTAGGAGAAAGATTGTGAATTCTACGGGTCAATCACAGCGAGCACAATCGGCTGGATCTCAAGGACGTTCACAAAATGTTAATGAATCAAATAATATAACATATGAAGGGTACAGTGCATATGGACTCACACCTGAACAAGTAGAGTATAAAAAAGAACATGCACGGCTGATGAATCAGCGAAGAAAAGAACAACAAGAAAAAGAGAAAGATGAAAAGAAGCGAAGACAAGACGAAGCAGAGAGTGCTTTTCAAGCATGGTTACAGAAGAAAAAAGAGGAAGAAGAAAATAGGAAAAAAGAGGAAAAGGAGAGTAGAGAAAGAGAAGAACAAAATGCGGTACAATATTATTTTAATGTATCAAATTTGTCTTGCTGCCCCACAGTACTTTTTTCACAATTTTAAATGATTCGAGACATATTCAGAATTGTTTTCCCTTGAAATTTGATACCCTCAGAATACTTAAAACCCTGATAATATGTGCTGCTGTTCTCCTTACTATAAATACCCCCTACACCTGTGTTCTCAAACTTCTCAAAACCTCAAATGTGTAATATTTTCATTTTTATTCACACATTGTATATTCGATCAGCACTTCTCTTCACAGTAAGTTGTGCAGAATTTAGATTAGAAATTTGTGAATTGGATAAATAAAATCTTTAGGTTTGCTTGGCTTCTGGTAATCAAATTGTGCATTTGGGATATTTTTCCCTTTCCCTGTAGGTGCAGAGAGATGCAGCTGGTGCTTATAAACAGTGGCTGAAAGCAAAGAAATCTCAGAAGAAAAAAGAAAAGAAAGAGGATAAACACAAGAATTCAGAAGAAAGTGAATCTTATTATTTGAGGAGTCGAGAAGACTGTGATAAAGCTTATAAAGAGTGAGTGCTGAAGTCATACTGTAAATCTTTTAATTTTCACTGATTGAACTTTTTGTCATTTCAGGATAATATGGCATTAGTGAAGAAATTTCATGAAAGCCATCGATGCTGTGGACCCCAGAAATTTTTTTTTATTCCAACAAAAAACTTTTGCACTGACTCAACACTGTTCACTGGTATTACGGTACTCTTGTACTTTGACACAACATGGGTCACTGGTAGTACCTACTTGGGCGTACATTTACCTTATTAATTTAATTAATTTATAGATTCTGTCGTTATATGGTTTTGAGTACATTGTAATAGACAACATTTGCATAAAATTTGCTGTTTTCATTACACTCATTACAAGAATTCTTTCATTGATAAGAAAATGAACATGTAGATTCTTTCACCTATCACCAGTCTACTTGAACAAATTGCATTCTTCATCATACTTCAAAACCCCTTGTATTTTTAACGTATTAAATCCCTTATCTCATCATTCACTGATACCAGATACACCGTTTCAAAGCAAATCATACAATAGGCATTTTTTCCAATAAGTACCGAGGGGTAATCTACAAAAAAATTGCACAAGTTGTTACAATGTGGGTTGATATCTGACAATGAGGGCGCTGCCTCCAAATATGATGTCATCACTACAGACACTACAGTATCAAAGATTTCTACTATTTTGAGATGCACTATATTCAGGATTTTATTGCACTGAAACTAACATTTCAATATAATTCCATTGGTTATTTTTTTTAAACGCATAATAAATAGATAACTCGTCACTGAGTCACATTCAATCACCCTAAAGTTTAGTAAATTTTCTTCTCTATGTTCATTGTAAATTAAATAAAAAACCTGTTGTTACTTCAACATACAGTACTTTACATTTTCCTCTCTTGTTTAGCTAGATAATATTATAAATAATTATAGATAACTATATAAATGATTCAATCTTAGTGTACTTGAATGTACAAGTTTCATCCCCCAATTAGTTTTCAAAATATAGTATGCACAAGCTTATGTGGCCAAATATTGGAAACACGGCAGTCATCCTTCTTTACTCTTTATTGGAACCCGTGCACATTTTTCTTAATTTTGCCTGAATGGGTCACCCACCCAGTACTATACCCTCTGTAGAAAACCCTGATACTTATTTTCGTAATTTTGACCTGCAGCCACGAAGACCAAAAATCAGACAGTCATTCCTCCTGGACTGCTGAAGACCACAAAGAGTAAGTCAAAAGTACAGTTTGTCTAAATTGATGGCTGCAGGTCACTTGAGCCGCAGAACGATCTTTGACCCTGTCCAATGCATACATTCCCAATAACAGACAAATAGCCATATTTGATTATAATTTTTATGTATAGTTAAAAAAAAAAATACAAAAAATGTGTGTCTTTTAATTATTGGGTCTTCCCATTAACATGGCTGCCAACAAATGTTCCCAAGTTTTTTTTGTTTGAAGGTATTGGGAGTCCCATGTTACTTACCACGTTATGTATAGCTAATGGATTTTTAGGATGTTTATTTCAAGAGAAGACAAATACAAAGTGTACTTGGAGCAGATAATATGGATTACTTTCTGTTCGAGAAACATCACAAATCCCTTTAACACAATAATTTGTTAACACTTAATAAGCTTCAATTTTATCTCCATTCTTTAGTGAGTTTGTAATCCATATATTTTTAACATCAGATATTAATCTATATATTAATCCATATCATCATATGTCATTTACATCATTATATAATATCAAAAACTGGAGTTAAGTGCAAAAATTGCAATATTGAATTTTTTCTGAATTTTCTATATTCTATTGTCATATGACATATATATGTGTACTATTATTATTGCATTATTAAATGTTTTTTTGATGGATAAACATATATATATATATTTAATTAGTTTATTTTCAGTTAAAAAACTGCATGTTTTCCTGTCCTTCCTATTCTCTATTAGAAACACACCTTACATACATGTACATACATAACAAACAAACAAACAAGGTTGAACTAGAATGTATTTGGTTTAATGTGCATCTCAAATAGAAGTGCATATGAACCCAAACTTATATCTTTGTATGCTGAATCATTACAATATGAATTATTTTTGTCATAGACATATCTCTATCATTTACATGTTGACTATATGCACTACTACTGGTAATAGGAGTTGATATGATACTTTATACCGACTGCATGTATATAGATGTGTGTAACTAATCATATTCATTATCATTACAGATGGTTAAAAAGAAAGAATGGACAACTAAAAGCACAGAAAGCATTGAGCAGGTCACATAATTTAAGAAGGCGACTTGAAGCACGAAAGTCAAGAAAATCACAGAATTTGGCCAAAGCTATCAGACAAGCACAAACCTATAAATACACAGATTACTATGGTTACCGATACTAAATTCTAAGTTTTTTTAATTCTTTTAGATGTAATATTGTTTTAAAAATTATGTTACCATGGTGACAATAACCATGGCTATGTAGACTCATTGAATGCATGATGGACTATTGCTACCATGGTGACTGTAACCATGGCTCTGATTCATGTATTTTAAGACATTTGTAATTGCAGTGATTGTATTAATTACATGTAGCAATATGACAGACTTTTTTAAAATCAGGATTTTTATGATTTTGTATCAAGCAACGGACAATCAAGGACTCAAAGCAATGTGTTGAGTTAATCTATCCCATAATTCTTTCTCTGTAAGCACAGCCTGTTGAGTAATCAAGGGTGGATGAATTCAAGTGTGCACACTGTCCTCGTATAACAAGTTGTTAAATCATTTAGAGTGAAATCCATATTAATACAAGAACACATATACAAGTTTGTGAAATTACGAATTGAGCTTTAATATCACCAGCAGCCTGTTTTGATCACAACTTAAAATTATTATTTTAGAATAAAACAAGTTTGTTCAATTGGATGTTTAACATCGTGTTGTAATGGACATCCTGTCAACAACTCAGGAATTGCCATGATATATAAATCAATAGTGAACAATTTTAGAAGTTTGTGTTTTCCTGGCTACTGACTTCTACCGGTAATATTTACCTTACGGTAGTGATTTCTGTCATGCCAAGAGCTTTTTAATACAATGTCATATCATCTTATAACCTTAAGTTAGTGTTGTTGTGTTCAGTTAAAAGCATATGTGCAACTTGAAAAACATATAGATATAGGCCAACCAAACATGTTTGTTTTGTAAATTATTTTAGTAAGAGATGCAACATAATTGTATATGCTTTTTAATAATAGATAATACACAGTCCCTCTGTGGATAATAGTATGCAACTATCTACACCGAGATGCAACTATTGTACCTAGATACAACTATTGGCACCTGGGAGAAATTACTTGGTAACTGTACCTAGATACAACTATCAGCATATGGGAGAAATTACTCGGTAATTGTACCTAGATACAACTATCGGCACCTGGGAGAAATTACTTGGTAACTGTACCTAGATACAACTATCAGCATATGGGAGAAATTACTCAGTAATTGTACCTAGATACAACTATCGGCACCTGGGAGAAATTACTCGGTAACTGTACCTAGATACAACTATCGGCACCTGGGAGAAATTACCCGGTAACTGTACCTGGATGCAACTACACTTGGGTTATAATACTTTCACTGTCAGTAGAGAAATAAACTGCAATTTATATGAAATCCAATTTACTGTATGTGACACTAGATAGGTTTTAAAGATATAGTCTTTTTAGTTCTTTGTAAGTTGTGCCAAACCATTGATTTATACATTGCTTGTCATTTTAATATAAAGTACATTGCTATTACATTAATTTAACATCAGGGATTAACATTTGTACGATATCATTTCTGTAAAATAACTTTTGTATTAAAAAATATTTTTTGGTAAAAGCTGTCAATGACATGTTGCTAATAGAGCTGTAAAGAAGACGTACGTTTGCCATGACAAAGTAGGATACAATATTGAAAGATTTCATTTTCCTTATTTTCTGTAAATTCTTGTTATACCCATTACAATCAGGATGCTAGCATTAATACAAATGCTGTGATCATGTGATACAGAATGTAAATTTAAGAGAGACACAGCTGTCTATTCTCATAATAGATTATTTTTCGCTCACTGCAAGATTCTGTGTTATGTGTGAAATCAAATGTAAAAATAAGCACAAACAAAGATCATAGGGATGTCAAAAGATCGCATGGGATTCAACAAACGCATTTAGTATTTAAGAGTCGTTTCCAAATTTAATAATGTGCTATACACATTTGTTGTTGGTCAATTTTGATAAAGTATGATTATCCCAATGCAAGATCGGTATTTCAACCTATAAAAAAAATGTGTCTGATTTTTTGCGATAGACGTTCAACCCGCACATTTCATGCAATGCAGATCTCTCAGTAAAACGAAAAATCATTTATTCGGTTGTGAATGTTCATGATCTCACTTTTTAAAATGTACACTGGTTGAGAATGGACATTGGTGATTGAAACAGAAATATCGGCCACCGTTTAAAATCACTGAGAATTCTGGAGCATGACGGATGATCTTAGGAATGATATTTTTTTAAATGAAGCAGATTTTTTAATAATGTGAAAAATTCACATTTGAACTCTTCCTCTTTTGCATTTGTTTCTAAATTGTATGTGTATCATCCAGGAATTGGGTATGACTTGAACTGGTATAATTGTAATAATTTGAAAGATTAATTGCTTGACTATATATATATATATTCTGTGTATAAATATTTTGTTATATCGGCATCCATGCACCAAGGAATCCAGTCTGTACATATTTATTTTTAGGATTAGAAATTACGATTCTGTAAGTAATAGTTGTAATTCATGAATTTACCCACCATCAATTTGAATTTAAGGTTTACTTTGCTTGTAATGTAGATTTGGGTAAATGTCTGTATTTGTTATCGTTGGTCTCACTGATAACTAAATATATGGGTAAAATAAATTTTACTTGATGCTTTCTGTGACTAACGTCAAGTATTCTAAAAACTAACCCACCATCTCTTTGGATTTTAAAAATTGCCTTGCTTGTAATATATTTGGGTGAATGTCTGTATTTGTTATCGTTGGTCACACTGATAACTCATGTGAATAATTAAATACCGTATAACATTTAGAAAACTTTTTGCAGTCATGTGGATAAATATAAATTGTTGAGTGGTAACACTAAATGTTTTGAGGAAAATTCAAAAATCCATTTTTTTTGGAAATTGACAATAACAATGTAATAATAATGGTGACTGTAGAAGGGCAAGGCTTCAACGTTTCACTATGTTCTATACTTAATGGTCATGCAATGCATATCTTTTCCAAATAGACACCTGGCTGTTTTGCATAATAACCTACAAACTAGACATTTAAAACGAGCTACTCTGTTATATATATATATATATAAAACTAGTGTATGTAGTTAAAATGTGTGACAAACATGTCTTCCTTTTACATTATGCCAAAATTCTGAGGAGAAAAAAAAACTTACTTTCTGAAACTGGGATAGTGTTAAATGTTTTCTAATATGTAAAAAAAAAACTTTCCTAAGATTTTTTTTTTTGTAAAAAAAAAATAAGTGCAAGTTTCATCGCAAACTAAGATTACTGTTTAAATTTTGCAAAACAAATTTTCACAAGACGAGTAAATTATCTAAGCGACTTCTGCTTAATTTTCCTGACATGGATGCCATCGACTGGTGAAAATACTCAGCAGTGAAAATTTAAATTACAGTACATTAGTGGCAATGGTTGTATATAACAATAAAATTATATTGGTAACTATGGTGATAAATTTCTCACTATGTTGTAGACCACCATTTATAATACGTTTTGGTAATCCAGATGAGTAGTCATCTCTGATGGAACCTAGTCATGTGAAGTGTATAGTTTGTAGAGTGGCTTTTATTAGTTTTGTAAATCACAATAAAATTCAATTTATGGGTAAAATGATTGTTGTAATTGCTTTGTTATTTGGAGATTATATCACATTTATTTATGAATTAGTATTTTGATTTAAAAAACAAGGAATGCTAATATTTACACAAATAAGTAATTGAATTACATAGATAGTCCCTGTGAGTTCTCAAGTTTAAGAGATGTTTGAAAGTGAAGTCTGTCATATGGCTCAGAGACTGCATTCACTAAAACAAAATGGCCACCAGTCAGCTATTTTGAATCTGATCTGAAAAACAGACATGCATTAGAGTTCCATAAAAACATTCATAAAGTTTCCAAATTTTGATGAATCTTTAACATTAAAATGGTCACCAGTCAGGCATCTTGGATTTGATTATCAAATGCAACATGTATATCTACTGGTAATGTTTGAATACGATTGGTCAAGAAATGTCTGAGATATACCAGTAGTTCTGATCCGAACTCAAATTCTGGATTAAAATTAAAATTTTAGCATGAAAATGGCCGCTATCTTAAAACGAATTTTGAAATCAATGGATGCACATATGTATTCTAAGATGCACATATGAAGTTTGAATGTAGGCAAATTGACCATAAATGGCTCAAAATACCCCTTTGATGTACATGATTCAGATAATTGAAGAAACTACCCATATAATACTTAGTACATCACTATGTTCCAAGTTTGAATGAAATCAGTTCATGTATTCCAGTTATGCCCGAGGATGAATGGATGCGCAAAACCAATGTGATAAGCCCCTTAGATTGAGGCGCACCCATGTTCAGTATGTGAGCTGAAAGTATTTGACCAATTTGGGGTCAAATGTAGCCGCCAGTCAACATTTTGAATCTGGCCAAAAAAAAATCAAAAACATATGTACATGTACTATGCATCAACCATGTACCTAGACAAACAGATTTACCGGTAACTCAATCATAAGCTATTAGACTGTGTTCATTTGGTTTTTAATTAAACTGCAAAAATCTCAGATTCATTTTTAAAAATAAAACAGTTTATTGTGGTATATACAAGAAAATAAATCATTGTAATGTGACATAGATAGGTAAGTCTAAAAAAAATGGAAGATGAGGATTTAAATGGCAGTGGAAGAAGTGAAATAGAGTCAAGTATCGTAACAATATTTGCTAAGTACAGACACAAGTTACTACCAGATAGTATATACTAGTATACATACAATAAAATTGATCAGAATAAAATAATCACAGCATAATAAATAATGCTGGCAGTGTTATAACTGATTTAATAATAAAAAAAAGTTAATTAAAAAGGTCATCTTTATTTGGCAGAATAATTTCTTTAGTTTTCTTTACACCTTCCTCTGCTTGCTGGACAAGTTTCTGGATATGGTCCTGTTGTGAAAACGCAGAAAAAATATTTCAGTATACTAATTTCTATGCAGGTATAACATAATCTTATAAACATCATGCAGTTATACCATAGACAAATTAACAAGATACAGTGTTAAATAATGCTGAATTGTATGTACAGATCTACAGTAAAACCTGTGCAAACTGACTAAGTACCTAACACAAGTCTACACACAAGGGTAAACACACCCAATTCTGTGAAGAACATGTACAACATTGTCATGTCATAGCCCCAATGATAAATCTTATGTAAAATAAAACTTACATGCAGAACAGAATGATGTTCCAAGACTATCTTGGAGGCTTCTATCATAAAGGATCCATAATTCTGTTTTTCTTTCTCCATCCTCACACATTCCTGTTCATACCTGTTCATGAGAGAATACGTTAGACTTTCAATACAATACATACTTTAAAACCATTTATCTCATTCACATTTATGGAGGTCCATAAATGTTTCTCTTCTCTACTAATTTCACAACATAATTCAGGTGTACTCATGAATTGTTATATGGGTCATTTGTTTTGTACTTTTTTAATGTTTGTCAGTCATTTGTTATTGTAAATTCCCTTTCACTAATATGAATTTGGATATCGATTGCATGTGATGTTATATCCATTTGGATTTAGCTTAGAGATAATAAGCTCGCAACTGGCACCTCATTCAATTGAGATACAAAATGAAATATCCTTTATTGTTCATGTATGAATACAGCAGCCTATCATTGTAGTATTTTTGCGTGTATGTATTTTCAACATAATTATAATATTCCGGTTAATGGCACAAAATGTAGCAATACCTATTCATACAAGACCAGGAGAAACTGTTAATCCTGAAATTGCAACAAGAAATTATGTGACACCATGATTATTAATGTTGTTTTTCAATTGTTATTATCCAGTTAAATACAGTTTGGTAAAATGTAAACTTATAGAACCCATGAAGTCATAATGAGTTATATTGAATGAGACAAAAACATACTTTTTATTCATTTCAGCAACTTGCTTTTCAGCTTCTTCTGTTGTGATCTGTTCTTGAAGTCTTAATTCTTGAATTTGTTGTTCAATAAGATGGATTTCTTCAATTTTTTTCTTGGTTTCTTTTGTTGTTCTCTGCATTAAAAAATGATTGATATACTCTTAATTCATCCTAAAATATCCTTGTCACATGACTAGGTCACCTGACAGGAAAATACTGTCACCAGTTTAAACTATATGTGTATAACTACTGTAGGGGTAAGTTGCACCCTTTTTTTTGAACAGCTGAGAACCTAGCCTGAAATGTAGGTGTGAGTTGCGCCCTCATCGTCCGAAAGGAATCAGACCCCACTAACGCCTGACAGAATAGTGTATGTCTCGTCTGGAAGATCATTAGTGAAATTCGCAAATTTTACGTCTTCTTGCAATGAATTTCAATGAATATTCATTTTGGTGGTCATGATAACATCGTCAATCAAAGCGGTATTAGCAATGTTGGAAAAAACAAGATGATAAACATTGGGCGGAAATTTCCCAACACCTTATCACACATTATGTCAACAAACAAATAAACTCTGCTGTGAATGGTTACTCTATGATGGCTGTCATTATCTGACATTCCTGCAATTTGATTGATACTGACAGAAAAACATCGTGGGAAGTGAAAAACTACATCGTTCTGTCAGGCGTATGTTGGGTTTGGAGCACACGTCCTTGTCAGGCTACTGAGAACCAAAAACTTAAATATTTCTCATGTGTAGATGCTCTAAATAGAAGCTGCTTTTTGTTACCCAGCATGCACATGATCAGCTGAGGGCACTCATAGACTGAATGCTCATACATGTGCTCTGAACATGCTATGTAGCTACTGTAAATTTCACAGCAAGGAACTTTTGCAATACATGATGGCATTCGTCAAGACAAAATTGTTTGAAAGTCACTAGTACTCTGTCATAGGACCCTAACGACAATTCCACTGTAATAATTTTACACAATTTTCACTGACTCACGATTAATTGTTATGCATGTGTGCTAACGCTGCAGGATTGTCTGTTGTGTCATGTCAATAGACGTTGATGACTTGCACATTAATTTCTATAAATCACATGAAATTAGAAAGCAGAGTCATAGAATTGAGACATGGGGTTAATAACAAACACAAAGACGTGCGTCACCTGACTTGTGTCACCCAACTCACATTACCAATACAACAAACATACAATTCCGTCTGGGGTTTCATAACTGGAGGAGCGATATAAAATATTTTTGGAGAGGGATATTTAACATGAATTGCCTAAAAAAAAAAATCCAGTCCTTGAATAGAAATAATACTATTATACTGACCTCTTTTTCACATTCCAGTTCATTTTCTAACCTTCGCAATTTAGTCGACAACATTTCAACCTCTTCTTCTTTCTCTTGTATCATCTCAGATACCTGGAGACAAATCAGATATCAGTAAATAAAATAGAAACCTGAAATTGAGAGTTGGACAATGTTGACAACACAACAATGTGAACTTACCTGGTCATCGCCCTCTTCTTCTGATATCTTTCGGTTTTGTAATTCATGCACAGAGTCGTTGATCTGTTTCCTCATTTGAATCAAAGCAGGCTTTGGAGAAATAAAAGAAGCATGAGAACAATATGCATCAAAAGACCAATTGATTGACAGACATTAGCATTAGCAATGATCTGCCACACAGATTGGTTAGATGAGCTAAGTCAGCCTGAACTACCCTGAAGTATCAGTAAATATCACATTGGATACCAAATGCTATTCATATACATGTAATTGGAAGTAAACATATTATACATGTATCAACACTGTTCAGCGACTCAAATGCTGTTAAATAACCTGTTACAAATTCAGTGTGAACATGGTATACTTGTTTTCACAGATGTAAGTTTTAGAAATGTGTTTCTGATATCAAATACAGTGTACAGAAATAATTTTATAATTTACAGGAATGTGGATGTGAAAGAGTGAGTAAACTGATGACGAGATGGTGCAGGATATAAAACATACTGACCTTGATAGTTCCAGTGAAATCAACCATTCCTGCAAAATCAGGATGTTGATTGTGAAACTGAATTCTCATTTCATAGTCAATACCATGAGCATTCTCCGCTGTCGGGGGAATCAGCTTCAGTTGACGAGCAAAGTTATTGTATTCCTGAACGTGTCTTTCAGTCTAAACAAAAACAAATATACAAAGATTTGGTATCATCAAGCACAAATAAGTAATTCTACACATAAATAATCAATATAGCTTTCAAATCATAACAAAATTGTAACATGTATTTCTGAAAGCGGTCTATTTTTCATGTAACAACAAGGTGGTTTACTGTGGCAGAATGAAGTTTGAAATACTCTGGTTGCATTGTGTAGAAGAGAATATAGAGTTGCATGAGGTATAGAGTCAATTAAGAGATCCATAAGGTGTTGTTTATTTCAGCACACCATAATGCATTGAAGTCAAAACAAGAACTACTCCCTCAACAAATTTAACTTAAGAGTATTTGCATAAAATTCTCAAAAAACACATTACAGGACTGATATTAGTTCAATTCAGAGTGGAAGATTCCATTATCATAGCAACAATAAATTACCCTTAGTAACAGAGTCAAAGGTTATAAAAAGAGGCCCCAACCAGGGATGAACATTGCAGACTATAAATTTGAAATGTTGATCGCAAAGAGCTCTTAGAGCACGATAGCCACCAATGCCATGACAGACTATTTGGTCACTTGTATGGGCATGTCTTTATATTTTATTTTGTTTGTAATGTACAACATATACAGGCCATGTACACTTGTCATATCTTAATCACCTGTTCCTGTTTCTTAGCAATTTTCATTTCTTGTTGCCATGCCAATTTATCTAACTCTTCTTTTTCCTTTTTTAATATTTCCATTTGTCTTGATAGATCTGTTTTTTCACTGTTGATTCTTTCAACATCAGTGGCTGATAATTCCTGAGTATCATAAATGTGCTGTAATCGTTGAATTTCTTCCAAATACTGCTTTTCTTCCAGTGCTGTAGAAATAAATTTATTTTAATTACCATGGTGATAGGAAAATGGCAAAATGTATTTATTGTACATTTACCTTCTTGATAGCCTACCATGTTGATTTTGCCAAAATTATCCTGCTTGCAGGGAGGGAGGGGCCAGGCAGATTTTTGACAACCACCACCAAAGTGGACACAATGATATAGATAGTTAAGGTTACATGTCGGGATCATGGGTGAGATCTTACAAAGGTACAATCTAAAAAAACCAACTATTTTACCCTCAGGTAGAAATCTAATCTGACATCTGACACCACAAGTGTTGCAGGATGAGCAATGTAAATTGTAAACAATGTAAACAAAAATTGGGATTTGGAGTGGATACCCACCATGCCTTTGCAGGTCTTCATCTTTTTGTTGGTGCTTCTGATCCAAGACACGTTTATGTGATTCCAGTTCATTGAGATATCTATCAAATCTATCAATATCACTTTGTAAAAGCTGTTTTCTTTCCATCAATTCAGATAATTTGTCCTGTGAAGAAAATAAATGAATTACAGCTCAAGTCATACCGGTAATTAATTGTATATACTATACTATACATAAACTAACCAGTCAGGTATCACTGTAAAAGGATACTATATTCTGAAATTAAACTGTTCAACTCATTCCCTAGTGCCCGTATACATGTTATACTGTGAAATCTTTTAAATTATTCCATGTTATCCTTGGGGGCGGCCCCACGTCACAGACGTTCCACGTTGCTAAGACGCGCACCACTGTACCATGCATTTCTATGGGCTCTGTGCGCGCTGCTGCAGAACGCCAATCGAGCCGGTGAAAATTCGAGAAAACAACACAAACTCAACTTTGAAGTAATCCTTAACAACCAAATTTATATATGTTACACACGTAGGGCTAATCTTGTTACACTGTTCAGGGGAGTCTCAACAACCATCCCAAGTACCGTTTTCTGCGAGTTTTTGGCCTTTGTTTTCACCGTGAGGGTTGCCAGGCGGTGAAAATGCTCGGATGTCCGCCCCTGAGGATAGTTGTTGTGTGTTTTCTTAATATTCATATGTTCTATGTACACATTCATACAGTTTCTTCTACACTATCGATAAAGAGCTATTGCTCAAAATGTCTAGCTATTTTTAACAACACTTACCAAATATTATAAAGCCTGTCATTTTGTTCTAAGATAGGTAAACAAACAATTTGAATTTTACATGGGTAATACTTTGGATGGGTGGTAATAAGAAAACATACCGGTATATATACTTGATGATATACTTACTGGTTCCTCTTCAAGTATCTGCAATGTCTCCAATAATCTCCTATGTTCATTCTCTAGCTGGTCCAAATCCTCTGCAACTACTTGGTTTCCAGTTTCTGGCAAAAAAATACACGATTTTAAAACTGAGTGAGGTAAGCTCCACTAAACACAACACAGTGACAATGCATTCTGAATTGTCGCTAATATTTTCAAAATTTAGTGGGACACTTTTCCATAGTTACTTACTCATACTATCTGCAAGCATTTGTTCATGTACTTCAAACGTATCCTGTCCATCTAAAAAATCATCATATGATTTTTCCAAATATCCAAACAGCAGCTGAAAGTGCATCCAATCAATGTTAATATTTGATATATACAAGACAACACTACTATTTAAGGGAAAAAAATTAAACTGTTTTTCACAAACACATTCAAGCAAAGAGGGTATGGTACATACATTTATTTAAATACAATGAAAAAGTGATCATTCTGCTTGTCTATTACTCGACTAAATTATGGCCTGCAATAATACAACCAGTTCAACCCATGGTGTAGTCAACAAACAAACGATGATGCGAGTGAGAGAACATACCTTAGAATCTAGTGCATCATCAAAACCATCTCCATTGCCAGCAAATAACAAGTGATCCACGTCTATGCTGCATGCAGTCTATAACACAATCAAGTGTACAGAATGTATTGTTGTAATCATACAGGTGTGAAAGCATGACAGCAGACAAATCTACCAGTGAAAACAATGGAAGATGACCATTGCTAAATTCTAATTTCAATCAGATTTCATTCCGAAATGTCAATGCTAAATTTCACTACTTTGTGGTTTAACCTTTTCATCACCAATTCCCTCTTTTCATCACAAATTCACAAAATAGTCCAGTTTATAGTCTGCACTTTCCTTTAGAAGACCGAGACAAAAATAGCCAATTTTTTTGAGTGAAAACTGAAAATTGACCCAAATTTTGTCTGTTGGCTCCAAAATTAGAGTTCATTTTAAGAAATTTTGAATGTTGAAAAATATAAGAAAAAGTGCAAGAAAAAGTGGGCAAAAACGTCTGATGGTGAAAAGGTGAACAGGGAAGCTGAAATGAGAAATTTGATGCCTGTGGTTAAAAAATGGAAGTGTCATAAATTGTAAATGTTTTTTAAGCTTCTATACCTTGACCAAATCCAGTAACCACATGATAGCTCCCAGTATAGTAGGCCATGTGTGCGGACTTCCCATGTTGAACATAGAACTTTTACTGATCTGAAACGGATATCTGAAATCAATCCAAACATATGACATTAGTATTAAACTTTTTTAGTGCTCATTTTGAGTTTACTACTACAATATCCAATTTAACTTGCTCTTTTTTTCTCGTAATTATAGGAGATGCCGAAATAAACTTATACTGAAAACCAATATTTCTCTATCAAAAAATGAAACGTATCGAGCCATATCCCTTGTAACATTCTCAATTGTATTGACATTGGCATCGACATGCTTCTTCCAGCATTGTCACCAGAGCAGACTTTAACAAACTTTTGTAGCTGAAGATGACAAGATAAATTTCAACACCTAGTAAAACTATGGTGGGTAACAACATTACAGTGACAGTTATTCCATTTGTATATTTTCATCTTTTACGCAAAAAAAAACAAAACATTTGCCAACTCTCTTAGTTCTAAAGCTTTTCGCATTAGTTAAAAGATGGCTGCTGTGCTGAAAAATATTGAACTTTTGCCTAAATACCAAATGGGCTAACCACTTACCCAAGATTTTTCAATCTTTTTGGAATTTCATCTTCAAATTTCACACTTCCGTCACGTAATTTGATATTTAATTCAAGGAAATGAAAAAGAAACTCGAAGATTGAAACAATTTCTTTCGTAGCTGGTGTTGTCAGTTGTTTAACAGTCAATGGATGTCCATAACCATTCTCTGACAAGAACTAAAATATTAAATCCATATTCATTATTTTAGTGAAGATGTACAGTATATCAAACACATACAATGACAAGCAGCCTATCGGCTGAGATAGCTCCGCTGTTAGCAATGCACATTTCAATTAAAGAACAGAAGATATCATTAGAAAATGAACAATATGTATAGAATCAAAGCAACAGGACTTGCTGTTTTCAACAAGACTTCAAAAATATCACTTTTCACCTAAAATGACAAAAATAATCATCAAAATTAGATAATTGAAGATATCACCACGAAATTAACAAATCTAAAAGAGGTCCACATGTAGTACCTATATATGTAATATAAAAGCAATCGAACTTGTGATTTTTAACAAGAAGTAGAAAATATCACTTTTTACCAAAAATGACAAAAATATTCATCAAAATTAGAGAATTAAAGATATCATTACAAAATGAACAAATCTGAGAGAGGTTCACATGTAGTACCTATATATGTAATATCAAAACGATTGGACTTGCGGTTTTTAACAAGAAGTCGAAAATATCACTTTTTACCAAAAATGACAAAAATATTCACTAAAATTAGAGAATTGAAGATATCATAATGAAATGAAAAAATCTAAGAGAGGTCTACCCAAGGTACATATGCACCATCAAAGCATTCAGGCTTATACTTTTCAAGAAGAAGTCGAAAAAGTAAAACATTGACACAAACGATGACGCGGACAATCACTCATATGATAAGCTCTGCTCGACAAAGTCGACAACGGAGCTAAAAAGCAAATGTGATTACCAGTACACTGAATTTTACTTGTACTGGTACATTTATAAATCTTTTATAAAATAAAACACTACTTTGTAACAAAACACTGGTGAAACATCCATGAAAGTGGTGATTTTGGGTCCATATACCATTGGTTTCTGTGGAAATAAGTCCCCAGCATATTACAAAATTGTTGGTTACTTTTGGTAATCCAAAATTATTAGGACATTCTGATGATTTTCTTAACTTTTTTTATAAAAAAAAAGTTTTTTTTTTCTTCAAAAAATATATATTGTAGTTAAAAATAAATCAAAAATTGAAGAGATGTGTCAAAATCAATAAATATGTGGCAAACAAAAAATTGTGATAAATTTGTTGACCCTACTTATTAAGTTGAACACATGTGATCTACCTACCGAGTGGGTGGATGAGTGGGTGGGTGTGTTCCACCTGTGATGTCAAACATAATACACAACAATCCCAAGAAGAACAGTAATTTTGACTTACTTCAATGAGTGTTCTGAGTGACTGCCTGATATGTTCTTTATTACTGAGAGGACGCGTCTCTTTTATTACACTTTGACTGCCATATCCACCGCATGCACCATAGCCACTGGAACGCCTACCAGAAAATATTAATTAATATTGAGTCACCTATGAAATGGTCCACTGAAACATGCAATTACAGCCGAGAATTATTCGAACAGTCAGTTAGCAAAATAACTTGCAACTTTGCAAACCATTTTGGTCTTTGCCCAATCTAGACTTGTCGACGCCACTTGATTGACGCGTGCTTGGTTTGGGATTACTATTTTATAGGGGTCGTCAGCATGGTGAATTGCAAGTATTATCTAGCCTGCATATACAGCAACCATTCTTTATTTTTTATAATTATATTGTAATTATTTTCAGTTATTTTAAAAAGTTGGGTATTGCTTAAATTTGTCGAAAAATGTCAACCCCTCGCTCATTTTAGTCAGTTGTACCTGTTACAAAAATGGACTAGACATAATAACGGTCGTCATACCCTCGTCATTTTCAAACTGCAGTTGAAAAAGTGATTTGCTCAAGGAAGCCACTTTTGATTTGACAAAGTTCATCAAAGCTTATAATAAAGTTTTCCGTCCGTGTATCTCTGACGTACTCTCCCACCTCGGTATAAAATCTGAATTTGATACATAATGCAACAGTAATGTAAAAACAACTTTTAGTTTGGCCCAAAACTGTTGCGAAACTGCAACGCGTCCAATGCTGAGAAACTCTACTTTGAGCCTTCCTGCCAACAACGAGTTCATTAATACCCGGGCTTACTGAACAATCAGGAGTTGTTTTGTAAATTGAGCTATGTCAGGTGGACTCAGATGGTTATAACAATTTAAAATAACACTTTGAATGCACAAACAACATATACCGGTAACCTGTTAATGTATGGTAACCAACGCACAACGTTTTGAAAACATTGTTTTACCCGCATCTAGCAAGATAATGGAATGATCCTAACTGTAGGCATGCCAATACAACGGCGCCATAAAGTCAAGATTGGAAAAGACTCAAGTGTTTTGCAAATTTCCAAGAAATACTGCTAACTGACTGTCCGAATAATTCTCAGAACGGCTGTAAAACCATGATAGACCTGCACTGATTCTGTACAAACAAAACTCTCAGCAAGCTGAAACAGAGTTTTATTCAATTGAAATAAGACCACCAATGCAATGTCACCGAACAGTTAACATTAAACTGTAGGTAGTTGGACAAAACTGGACATTTATGTGGAAAATTTCTGGACAGCAGAGAATTTTTTTACTGATTTTCCTGACAATAGTCTATTAATCTGACAATTAGTCACTCGTGAATCACAATTCACAGAATTTCAAACTATTATACTGAACAAAAGCTTGGTTTAGTTTAAGGTTTATATTTAAAAGGTCGTGGTCATCGCAACACACTGTGTTCGAAATATACAACACATGTAAAATACCAGGGTTCTCCACGGTTTGAAAATTAAACAGGGCGCGTCAATGTAAAGTGGGCGTGTAACATTTATAACGTGCATCATTGGCAAGGATGTTGAAAAATGGAAACCAAAAAATCTATTAATCTACATATTATTACATATGCATAATATATATTTATTATTACAAAATGAATAGGAATTTTTAAGAGCTATTATTAAGTAAACGTCAGCATGTACAATCAGCTGATTTTAGCTGCACGATTCCTCAAGCAGCGACATCAGTTGTTTACAAGTAATGATCGCGTCCAGAAAAAAACATAACAAGTTTGTTAATTTATTTTCCCAAATAGATACATACATGCTTTATTTAATAATTAGAAAAAATTTATATTTATGATTTATATTTATTTGGACGAAGCAAAAAAAAATAAATGTCGCACAAACGTTCGTAATTGGTTCATTAAAAAACTTGCATGAATGGCACCAAAAACCAAGGTGATCAAACGAAATAAAATGTACACAATAGAAGATTTTCGATCTGCAGTTAACAGTTACTATCAAAAATAATAGAATTAGGTATAAAAAAAACAAAATACATATTTAAAAAAATATTATAATTTTCATTCGAATCGAAAG